TAGAGACAGACAACCATTCACACTCACATTCACACCTACGGGCAATTTAGAGTCACCAATTAACCTGCATGTCTTTGGACTGTGGGAGGAAGCCGCAGTACCCAGAGAAAACCTACGCTGACATGGGGAGAACATGCAAACTCAAACCAGGAACCCTCTTGCTGTGAGGTCATCACAACAAACTACAAAATATTCTATATAGTTAAATGAGTTTATGAGTTGAATTAACACTTGGTCTTTTTAAACCATGTAGTCATTACATGTCTGTGGTGTGTTTGTCCTGCTATAACAAAATTAGTCAGTAGGTGGCGGCAAAGCGTTGGTTATCAAAGCGGAACTTTTGAAACGTCGTCGTATGTTGCTAACGGACACATTACAGGGACGTACTGTTTTTTCGACAACACCAACAACTGAAGGTACAGTAAACTTGTGAGATTTATTTGTTCTTTTAAGTTGTCTAAGTAGTAATAAATAATATCTCACAGTGAAATATCATTAGAGACACATTGCATTAGCAGTGAAGTAGGAACGTTTGCTAACTGCATAAATCGCAGGGCCCGTTAACATAGCGACGGTATGCTACTATGCTAGCATTAGCCTGCACGTTATAAGCCAAATTTTTTATTTTCACAGTATGACAGTAATTAAATCACTTTCCTGTTAATAATGGACATGTGACGGCCTGAAAACTGCATTCACTGACTGTGTCTGATATTCCTACGCAGTGTCATACCTGCCTCGGTCACTCTGAGCAGTGACAGCCAGCAGTCAAGCATGAATGTGAACCAGGGGACGGTGGGCAGCGACCCGGTCATTCTGGCCACGGCTGGATACGACCACACTGTCCGCTTCTGGCAGGCTCACAGCGGGATCTGCACCAGGACTGTCCAGCACCAGGACTCTGTATCCTTACTCTGACTGATAGTGTGCTCTGGTAAATGAAATCTGGAACAGAGTTTACACTGTGATACAAACAGAGACATGTTTTGTCTTCTTGGAAACAAGGATTTGAGTTTCAGATGACTGGAGCTGGTGGTGGATGAAGTACCCGAGAGCCATACTTGAGTAAAAGTACAGATAACTTACCAGAAAATGATTGTGGTAGAAGTTAAAGTCACTTATTAGAATATGACTTGAGTAAAGTACTTGATATTTACTGCATTTAAACGTCAAAAGTCATTTAATGAGACTTAAGTATCGAAAATAAAAGTGCAAGTAAATGTTAACAAAAAAGCAAGCAGACAGAATTTTGAGAATTATGTTTATTTCTTTCTCACATGTACACCTCCTTAAAAATGAAGTGTACATTACACTCCAAAAAAAAACTTTTTCACAATTTAAAGGATTTAAAGAACAAAATCCAGTTTTACCTTTCCTCCTATTCCTTCATTCATCTGTCTCTTCCTCTTTCCTTCCTCCCTTCTTCCTTCCTCATTATTTAGTAATTGACTAAGATGCTGAGGAGAAATGTATTACAGCAAAAGTTTACATTTTATTTAGGAAATGTCATGGAGTAAAGGTGAAAGTTGACCGAAAAGTAGTGTTCAGATCCTTAAAAAATACTTAAGCACTATAAAGATGTATTATTACTTTGTTTCATTACACCACTGGTCAATTGACAGCAGAAAAAGTGACATTAGGACTTTACACCTAAGAGTTTAACATACTGTTTGAAAACAAGTTAGCTTTAAAATAGTGCACTCTGAATCAGAAAATCCCCTTGTGTCTTATAAAATCAACATGCTGTCAAAGGAGCTGTTGTTTACCGTCTTTGAAGCAGCTCCAGGATTTGTCAGTGGATGACATCATCACTCCAGTGTCGGGACTGAGACTTGTTCATGTAGACCGATTCCTTCCTTAACATTTGCTCCCAGCAAGTAAATTCACTTGAGGTCACACCTGACAGGAGTATGATCGCAGCTGCAGGTTGGTTAAGAATTTTTTAAATCTTAAACCTTCTCCTTATCCTGGATTGCATGATACCATTCATAACAACCATGTCTCACATTGATGTCCACTCTGCCTTTTAGGTTATCAGCACATCCGCATGTACGATCTGAACTCCAACAACCCCAACCCGGTGATCAACTACGACGGTGTCAGCAAGAACATCACATCCGTGGGCTTCCATGAAGACGGGCGCTGGATGTACACAGGAGGAGAGGACTGCATGGCTCGCATATGGGACCTGAGGTACTGCAAAGGAACCTCACTGTGCTAAAAACACATTGATTACGTTGTGTTGAGCAACCTATCTTTGATCCCCACTGCTCCTCTCAGGTCCAGAAACCTGCAGTGCCAGAGGATATTCCAGGTTAATGCTCCTATCAACTGTGTCTGCCTGCATCCCAACCAGGTGAGACGTTCAATGTTCATAAATTTGCACTTATACTATTGTTTGTTATTTTAGTAGTTTAGTGTATATGTGTGTGTTTTTAATGTAAGTCAGTTACAGTGTGTGTCAGTAAACAGTCTGTGTTGTGTGTTTTTCAGGCAGAGCTGATTGTTGGAGACCAGAGTGGAGTGATTCACATCTGGGATCTGAAGACGGACCACAATGAGCAGCTGATTCCTGAGCCAGAAGTCTCAGTCAACTCCGTTCACATTGACCCAGATGCCAGTTACATGGCAGCGGTCAACAGCTCGGTCAGTACCCCAGCAGAGAAGGGTGTTGTATATTAATACTTTGGCGTGTTAAGTCATATTCATCCTCTTGGATCTCCTTAACAGGGGAACTGTTATGTGTGGAACCTCGCTGGAGGCATTGGTGATGAGGTGACTCAGCTCATCCCCAAGACTAAGATCCCTGCACACAAACGCTACTCTCTCCGCTGCAAGTTCAGCCCCGATTCCACGTGAGTGCCCTCCTCCTCCTCTCTGCACTCTATAAATCTTTCTTTGACGCAGTTGCTGACGATGAGTTTCTGTGTTTGTCGTCACCTCCAGTCTGTTGGCCACCTGCTCAGCAGACCAGACCTGTAAGATCTGGAGGACGTCCAACTTCTCCCTGATGACAGAGCTGAGCATTAAGAGCAACAATCCCGGAGAGACGTCCAGAGGCTGGATGTGGGACTGTGCTTTCTCTGGAGACTCCCAGTATATTGTGACTGGTCAGTACATGCGCTGTGGCAAGTTAGCACTACTTTGTAATGTCAGTGTGCTTGTATCAAAACCATTCTATAACGAGTTAATCAGAGTAATGTTACTCACGGTCAGACATAAACACAAGGATTCCACACTTATAAAAACCTTGCTGTTTCAGATTTATGATGATTTAAGATTTTTTTTTTAAACTAAAACAGTGAGAAAAATGTATGTTGTAGTTTATGTGTAATCTTGAGTCAACAACAAGCTGCATTAAGCGACACTCCCCCTGCACACCCACTTGGACCCCTGGGGTCTAGATGCGCTCCTCACACAGGTGCTCCGGGAGTAAACACCAGGCGCTCTATGTGTGGTAACTATGGAAACAGTATCACATCTCCCTCGTCACTGGTTGATGTGTTAGCTCGCCAATTATTGAAAATTAATTATTTGGCAAGTCAGTCACTTCCCATATTAAAAGACCATACACTGCAGTAATGCAAATTTAGATTTGGAGTTAAAGATTGGACATACACCTTCTTTTTAACTGCGCGTTTGCATGCACATGATGGCTGCCTTGTGTCACCTGCATCCATTTGGAGCATTGGTTGTGCATGTCCTCAGAAATTAACGCAACGTGGCCGCAAGATGTGATACACACGTGAACGGTCAGGGCAGTGTTGGCAGAGCGAGAGAAAGAAACTTACCATTGTCAAGATATGCTCTGCTTCTCAGGTTTGCCCTCTAGTGGAATCCTACAGCAACACACATAGTTGATAGGCAAGTAATGTGAGTAATTTCGTTCTCGATGCAGCCGGCTTTCTGTTCAAACACATGGTTAAAAAGCAAGTAAATCTCCGGCCATATGCATTTGATAAAGCTGGACTTGGAATAGTCTATGAGAGTATGAAGCTAATTCTGTATTGATGCACATCTGAATAAAGATGTATATAGTGACTTTCAGAGCCTTTTAGAGAGAAGCAGGTAAAGGTTTGATCACTTCAGTGTAAAAACACCTTGAGGTAAATTCCTGGCTCTGACTCGTGTTTCCATCTGTAGCCTCCTCAGACAACCTGGCCCGGCTGTGGTGCGTGGAGACCGGGGAGATCAAGAGGGAATACAGCGGCCACCAGAAAGCCGTGGTGTGTCTGGCCTTCAATGACAGTGTGCTGGGCTGAGGAAGAAGAAGAGGAGGAGGAGGAAAGAAATGAAGAGACAGGAGGTGGCAGATGGTCTGTGCAGAGGTGGGACAAGGACAGAAAAGAAATGGACACTTTGGGAAATGTGCCTCAATTGGGAATTGATTATTATTTCCCCAGAAATGATCATCTTGAGAAGGTGGAGGCGCATGTTTGAACACAACGATGAATCTCAGCTGTGTGTGGTACCCGTAAGTATTCAGCTGAGCAGCAAGGCCAAAATGTGAACTCATAAATCCAGCTTAAAGGGCCAAGTACACCGCATATAAGCAAATTGGCACAAGTTTGATTACAGCATATGTCAGTGTCCATCAATGACCCTTTATGTTTTTAACGCCATCACTCTGTGCACAACAGGAGATTCTTTACAACTCTTTGTTTTTATAGTGCACCATATTTATTGTATTGAAAGGACCACATGTCTTGTCGACCTGGATGTGCTGCAGAATTGATATCTCTCCTGTGTATGTGTAATTCATTTGATACTCAACTTACAAAGTGAAGTACTATTCTTAAACATCAAATGTGGATTAGGGAGTGTGGAGAGAAAATGATGTACAGAAAATGATTCCGCAGTAAAGACATTGTTCAGAAAACTCCTCACAGTCTTTGAGTTTCTTCCTCTCTCAGAAAAATTGGCCACAAATACACAACAGTCTTTTATTGGACAGATCAAAACACTCTCATCGCAACAGGAATGATTACACGTAGTTATACTGTAGCAGTGGGTTACAGGAAATACAAAAACAGGGGATCTTTCTTCTGTAATCTCTGAAGTGTGCCACCAGAGAGGGTATTACACATGAAGAGAGTGACGATGGGGCTTTGGCGATAACCATGACAGCCTGTCTCCATCTCTTCTCTCTCGGAAGGATGGGAATAAATGGACTGGGAGGGTTGGCTGCTTCATTGGTTTACTGGCGGCTGTATGGCACAAAGGAAACAGTCAAAGCTGGCTTTTGTTCTGTGTATTTTTTTTTTCTTGTAGAGGGAGCTAAAAAGACAACTTTGTTTCCCTGATCTCTCGCTGGGAGCAGAGGAAGAGAACGCACAGTCACTCGGGCAGGTAGTAGAAGCACACGGACACGCAGATGTTGCTGGGAAAGCAGATGTCGATGCAGAAGTAGACCAGCCTCTGTTTCCCCGGGCCTGTAAACAAGACAGACACCAGAGGTGACTCCTTGATACAATACAGATTTAGTAAATACAACCTCGCTGTGGAAACAGGCCAGAAACTATAAAAGATGAAATAACCTGCTTTTCTAAATTCAGAATATGATCCGGAGCTGAAACGATTGATCGATTAGCCATCAACTACAAATTAACCACCAACTAATTTGATAAACAGTTGGTTTTGATAATTTTTTAAGAAAAAAAAGTTACAATTATCTGATCCCAGCTTCTTAAATCTGAATATTTTCTGGTATATTTACTTCTCCATGACAGTAAACCTAATATCTTTGAGGTGTGGACAAAAAAAAACATTTGAGGACGTCATCTTGGGCTTTGGGAAAGAAACACAGATCTGTATTTTTCACAGTTACATGTAGACTGCTGAGTACAAGTATGTTTTCTTCAGTCTGTCATCTACTGCAACAGCAGAAAGGTCATTGGACATCATAGATTAGTCTTAGGTTTCATCCTGACACGTTGATGCTTCATGAAGTTGCCAGCTGGCTCTTTAAAAACGGCATTCATTCATGAACTCTCCCAGTGTGTAATATGGCCATGCATGCTGTAATAGTATTTAAAATAAATGTCATCTGACACTCCAAAATGTCAGAACACTACAAAAAATGAAAACACACATTATATCACCATAACGCCTGTACCATCATTTTACCTTTGAAATGTTTTTCCAAGGTGTGCATAATGACTTCACACCTGTTTGACCAGGATTTAACAGATATGGCTGGCATCAGTCTGTATTTTTTATTGTCAAAAAATCCCACGAAAAGACCAAAACTAACATGTCTAAATATTTAGTCTGTTTTATCCTGTCTGTATCCTGAAGGCCACATGTTTAAACTGAAGAAACATATTTTAAAGCTAAAGACCTTTACAGACCGGGGTGTGACGAATAAACGTTACGAAAATCTCACCTACGAATGTTTCACATCAGTACTTTTTGTATCTGCAGCGATGCGAATTTGCGACAGTTGCAACACTTCTTCATTAAAGGCTTTCGCAAATTCGAGGGTTTTCGAATTTGCATTATCTAACTGGATCCTATTGACCAAGAGAAGTGTCTGACAGCCTGTGTGAGGTAAGTTGTTGATTAGCCTATGCTACTGTAAGCTATTTTATTGAGTTTCCTTTTAGCGTAATGCCCTGAGTGAATTTGAGTTCCTTCTGGTAAGCCGTTTATTCTGTTCTTAATGTTTGTTCTTAATGTAAAAAGTAAGAACACAAGGAGTGGATCTGGTATGCACCGCCATTTTTAAGGTTCAAAGGAGGATTAAAGTGTGCCGTCTGTGTTGTAGCTTATAATCCTTGTAAGTACAAGCTCAACATTATTGTTTGATGCCTTTAACCATGGTGCGAATGTTGTGCGAAAAATCGACGTTCTGGGAAAAATTATGTGGATTTTTTGCAGCACAATATTTGCAATCTGTATGCAAGTGTGCATGATGAAATCAACAGTCTGAAAAATTACACTGGCATGAAAATAATGAATTATTTAGATTTAAAAAAAAAAAAAAAAAAAAAAAAAAGCCCCGGTATGTAAAGCCATAAAGCTAATGACACAACTGGGCAGTGTAACCTTTAGCAAACATTGGTTAAACAGGAGTTAATAGGGCATTTGTTGGGGACTATTTTTAATGGCGGATTAATACTCATGTGGTTTGCTTGTGTGTATTTACAGTGCAACAGCCAGATGGTGTATTTAGGATTGAGTTAAAAATAATCTACAGTGTCCATCGTCATGGTACTGAAGGAACATGTCACCCAGTGCAATGGCATGGAGGTTTAAGCACTGAGATACTTTCCAACCAGGGTGGTGATCAAAGTTAGATTATTTTTCCCTGAACATTGTCCTAACCTTTATAGAAGGTCTGGCATGTAGGATTTAGTGGCATCAAGTGGTAAGGTTGCAGATTGCAACCAACTGAAACATCTCCAGTGGTGTGGTGGCTGATGCAAATGGGCCTATCTAGGGACAAAGTTTGGTTTGTCTGTTCTGGGCTACTGTAGAAACAATATCACAGACCTTCTCTGGAAGTAGATGTAAACAGCTCATTCTAAAGTAATGACAAAACAAAACAATACTTAGTTTCAGGTGATTATACACTAAAGAAAACATAGTCATGAGTATTATATTCAATTACATGTCTAAAGTACAGGTTCTCACCCTCGACCCTCCTGGTCCAGTGGACGGAGCTGTCCTGACACAGAGCCTGGAGGGGCTCCTCCAGTGTGGACACATCCACCTGACTGGCTGCCATCACCCCCAGGAACTCCGTCTGCCTCTGGGTCTCATTCCCGGACAGCTGGAACTGACTCTGCTGACGACAGCATCACAACATCTTCACAGAGAATCCACAATAGATGAAAGAGTTTTGTCCTCTATGGGACTGAATGGCGACTTCTAAGCTGAAGTGTCACATAATAAGTGTGAGAAATCATATTCGACTCACAGTGACAAAGTAAAATGAATAAATTGGAGTCAAAGCCAGGGAGATATGAAGAATACAACCAAGATTGAAACTCAAGCAGCCATTAGCCCGATATCGTCGCTGATGAGGTCAACACAGCCGCACATTTGCGCTCCTACTCGTCACAAAGGCTGTGTGTAATTGCACCACTTACACCTGTGATTGGCTCCGATAGTGAACCACTTAACGTGCTGTTATGCTTGAGTGGGTCACGTAACAACCAGTTTTTCCTCCACTGAAAAGGCCAAGTAGACCATTGTGCTGCAGCATAGAGGGATAGAACACATTTTCTCCCCATCCATAAGGGGCCTATTCCTCCTATCATAGATTAAATGACTACACCGAGGAGCTGCATGAGATATGTGACACCACGAGACGGGATCACAAAAAACACTGAGAGACTCGACTCCAGGTGGAAACGGCGCTATTGTGTCGAAAGATAAGGCGGAGAAACAGAAGTCTCATCTCAGTTTACTTGCAAACTCCCACATCGTGGCCTTTCACCTGCTCATTTTGTCCCACATAAATCATATCTAAGGAGCTTAACTCAAAACTGAATCAACATCAGAGATCCAGGAATTTGCCTCAAAGCAGATACACACAGGCCCTTCGCTCTCTGCCACTTCACCAGCCTGTATTTTAATCCAACAGAGGAGTCTTAAAAGCTAAAAAGCCCTCACACAGAGTGGCCATTGTGCCCACTCCATGGCTCAGGCTCGCTGCCGTAGCCTCCTGTAAGAAGATCCTGGGCACGCTGAGGGAGCCTGGAGGGATCAGATGTGCTGAGGAATTCAGCCGTGGAGGGCGAGAATGGAAGACTATATGGCCCTGTACGCTTCACCCCTCTCTTTGTACAGAGCGGCGAGGAAGTCGTGCAAAACCTATGAAACCCAGCAGGTCTTGGCTCAGTGGTGCTTTCAGGGATAAAGCTATGAGTCACGGTCAGAAAGGCCAGTTCACACATTAGCGTGGCGGTGACTTTACAAACACTTGGCAGAACTAGAAGGGCAAACGTGCTTTTAGATTTGCCCAGGTGCGTTTTCACGTTGAGCTTTGTAGTCTCACGTATCCTGAACGCAACGAGGGAGACCCTATTACATAACCTGATCGTTCAGTTCTCACGTGTTGAAATGTCACTACCTTGTGTGCGGAGTCGTTGAGGAGGGAGTGCACGTTGTCATAGTCAGACTTCTCCATCTTTCGCAGGAAGCAGCTCTCCTGGTTGACAGGTTTGTAACATATCAAACCCTGCAACACAACAGCGGAGAATTACACATCTTTCTCATCATCACACATCTCTCTCATCATCAGACCTTTTCTACTGTATCATTACCAACAAAACACCTTAAATCTTGTGCATGTCACCTGAACGTACATGTTTGATATCAAACATCACAGTGGACGTCTGATTTGTGGGTGAGGTCACAGAAAAAGTCACCAAGTCATTTTTCTGGTCCACAATAGCTGACTGGTTGATCAGAACTCCGGTCTGATCTGGAACTGTGATTCGGACAAGCTGCAAAGACTACAGAAGCAGACTCCCGGTTAATATCAACAATGACGAATACACAACAACATGTGGTCCTGGTGGGTGTGTGGTGACAGTCACGTACCTCAGAGTGAGGCTGCGACAGTCGCAGATGCCCAATCACACCGAGGGCGATGACGACCAGGAGCAGAGAGGCTGAGAGGCTGACCCAGAATGCCTTGTGTGGGAAGTGGGACTTGGAGGATGCAGCAGAGCCCCCATCCTGTGCAGCAGAAACAGTGACAAGCTATTTAAACAGTACTTGACGCAAGCATCAAATGTGGCAGGGTGGGAAACCAACACTGCTGCTGAGATTTGTACTTAAAGGGGAACTTCAACCAAAAATAAAAATACACATTCTCCCTTAGCTTAGTTAGCTGCAGAATGTTGGGAGATATTGACTGTAGAGATGGCTGGCTTCTCTGAATATAATGGATTAGATGGCACTCAGCTTGTGGTGCTCTAAACACTAAAAAGTGCATTTGAAGAACTCAACAGCAATGTCTCTTTCCAGAAATCATGACCTGATTACTCAAGATAATCGGCAGACCTTGTTGTGAACAGTTTCATGTAGGAACTATTTTTTTTCTACCGAACAAAACCTGCCAACCGTTATCAAGAGCGCACAAAAGGAAGCGTGCAGCTACTCATAGACGAGAGGTTCATGACAGTGCAAGATGTAAACATTAATGCCGTCCTCCTTGGCTGAGCTGTAACGTTAGCTAGCTTAGTGGTGCTAGGTGAGATGGGACCAAGTCATTGTTTTGTAAGTCAAAAGTAAGACTTCAGTCTTTGCTCGCAAGTCTCAAGGTAAGTGCCAAGTCAAGACTGACAAGTCCCAAGTCCTAAACTTTGAGTTTCAAGTCCTAAACAAGTCATAATGGGCTCTTCAGTAAAAGTAATGCCAGAAATACATTTACAAATATCTTGAATAATTTCTAAAATTTGACTTTCTTTGTTATTTTTATTGTTAAAGTTCGACTACACTTAGCTGTTAAAGCTAAGCATTAGCTCACTATGTTAATATTAGCCCAGCTTGCCATTCTTTATGCAATATCAAATATCTAACTTTGAAGTCGTTGTGTCTTCGTCTGTAATTTTCAACCTATACAACAGCAATTCGTTTTCGTTAACCACCACAGTTATTGTACATGAACAAATTTACCTTTGGTATCAATTTTTTAAAATTAGCACTCAGTAAGGTCATGTCCGTTCTTCATGGTTCTCTCCTGCAACTTGACTGGATGCTGTTGGATTAGTTCAAACAAAGCTGATCTGGGGTGACGACTTGCTAGGAATGAAAAGTGTTAAATTTAGTTGATTCTGGAAATGGATTGACTTGTGGCACAATTTTTAAATGTTTACTTTTGAATCTTTGGGCTTTAGGGAACACATTAAGTATTTTCAACTCAAAAGGCTGAAGTCCAAGTGAAGTCAAAAGTCATTGGTGTTAAATTCTAAGTTGAGTTGCAAGTCTTTTTTTTCTAAAGTCATCGAATTTGTGACTTGCATCCGCACATTAAGTGCTAGATGCTAACAGTTGATGTATGGGTGTGCGGTGATACAGTTGGCGGGTGTAGTTTGGTAGACAGATAATAGTTTCTACATTAAACTGCTCTCAACAAGGACTGTGGGTTATCTTGAGTAACTGGGTCATGATTTCTGGAAGGAGACATTGCTGTTGAGTTTTTTGGTACTTTTGGCACTACAAGCTGAGTGCCATCTAGTCCAGTTATATTGGAGAGAAGGCAGACATCTCCAACACTCGGCAACTCACACAGAAACAATCAAAATCGCTAAACAGCACAACAGGTAAAAGAACAAGAAAATGTTTTGGGATGATATGTGCCTTCAGAGGAATATCTGAAAGACTCATCTTATTATGCAACTGTTGCTGGCTTGTAATGTAGTAAAAGTGGCTGGATATGAATACGCAAAAACAAACAGTGTCCTGCCTTGACCCCTTTCCTAGCTGATATACTTCCTTCAGTCACAAGTTGCTCTACAAATTAAAAGCCACCTGCTTACCGTGCACTGAGCTTCCTCCAAACTGTTTTCTGAATGTTTCCAACACCTCACCATCCTGTGTCCCTTGACGGCTCCTCACTCGATCTGCTCCCTTCTCTTAGCTACCGGCATGGAGCTGTGGTCATGACTGAGACTCAATACACCTTCCAGCTTCTCTTTGTCCCTGCAGACCTCCCCCTCTCTTCCTCCTTCTCCTCCCATTAGTCTCACTGTCTCCCTCCCAAAACAGTCACCCACTTCACACAAAACTCCAAATCTTGCCAAACCCAATTTTCGAGTCTTGTCTTCCTGCAATTTCCTTCTTTTTTTTATGTCTAATATGACTTAATATGCCTCTCTAACATTATCCATCTTTCCTCTGCCCCCCCCCCCCACTCGAACACACACTTACACGAGAGGAACTGGCTGCCCTCCGCGGTCCAGACAATGGACAAAGGGGTGAGGCAGGTGCAGCTTGGAAAGCCTCTCTCGTCAGGTGAGTGGAGATACACGGTTCTGACTGTTGCAGCATCCAGCCGATGACAGCCCAAGGTGACTTTTAAGCACAGGACCTGGAGGAAAGTTTGATGTGTTCACTTTGAACTTAAAGTCACAAAGAGCAGACGTTGATTTAGTAAAGATAGTGTGAATTTTATTACAAATTTGAGCGTTGCTTTCAGCGATTCGGGGAGTTAAGGACAAATCGGAGAACAAAGAATGCACAAGGAAGACCTTTAAAAACATGTATGCTAATCACGGTTTCACTACTGAACTGACATGACACGACACGACTTAGTATGATTGCACCGTCCCATGAATGTAACTGCACGTTTGCATTTTCAGCTGAGGTGTGAAAATACATAAAAACAGAAGCCAGACAAGTTCAGTGCCTTTTAGTCCCACTCTTTGCCCGTTATTTATAGACTTTAAAACAGCTGTAAACCTGAACACACATATATTGCCAAACTTTGACACACTGTGTGCTCATTTCCCTCCTTGAGTTGACTTGGAGTTGCTTAAGGGGTGATTGCATCACAGGCAGTCTTTAAAGTACACTCTCCTTTCCCCCCCAAAAGTGAACATACACACACTGAAACAATACTGTAAGTCATTGTTCTGCTGTTCTTTATAATAAATCAATCATTAATATGTTAAATAAGCAGGTTTTAATAATGGTTTAGTTAAATAAAGGAGTCTTTGTCTCCTGTCACGCAGCAGCTAGCTGCTTGGGTGTGACTTTGATACAGAGATGCATATAATCATATAAATTTTAAGAAAAAATATTCCCTTTTAGAAGACAGTGTCATCTGGCATGTGACAGGCTAGCCTAACTCCTCAAGCTTATAGCTGCTAGGCTATCACAAAGCTACATTTAAGTCCTGAAAGACTTGAGTTTCATCCCTGCAGAGCTGGAAGGAGGTCTGCGATGCTCTCCACGTAATAATCCGGCACCATCCCCTGCCTCTCCGCGCAGCCGCTCTTCTGATGGGCCTCAGCGTCTGCCAACGTGCTGACCCCCGTGAGGGTGAGGAGGGTCTTCAGGCCGCAGTTGGAGCCCAGCAGGATGTCGGTGTCCAGGCGGTCGCCAACCATCAGGCAGCGGTCGGGGTCCACGCCGTATTTGGAGGCCACGCAGTCGAACATGAAGTGGTTGGGTTTGCCTACTGTCTGGGCCTGGCGCTGAGCTGCTGTCTCCACAGCCTTCAGCAGGCAGCCTGTACCTGGGGTAAGGAAAGAAAGGCAGAAGGTGAAGAGACCTTTCATTCATTTCCCCTAAATATCCCATCTGTTTTATTTCCTGTGTTACCAATTGACCAGGGCGGAACTGGTGTTATGGATCAAAATGATAAAAATAGTTGGAGGACAATTAGATTTGGCAACCATTAACAAAACAGAACCCGTTTGGTGCTGGCCACCGTTTCATTCGGCTGCCCTGTCTCAACTGGAATAGGCCTGTGTCTTCCATGCCTAATAGGCATGGAATAGCCATTAACGGACCAGAACCCATTTTGGCCACCAGTTCTTTTGGCAGCTGAGTCTCAGCCAGAATAGGCCCGTGTCTGTAGTAGCTAAATCTGGGCAAGATATGGCAAATTTAAATAGGCCAAAGCTGGCTCACATTAAGCACAGAGGAGCAAGTCGGCTGACACTCGGCCGCAATTGGGCCGATTCCGATGGCTACCTGGGTAGATACAAACTCTGGATGACTTTTTTCCCTTGGCAACAACATGTTTGATAGTTGTAATGGTTTGCCCAAATAATGTCCAGATTTTCAGGCATTTTATCATCTCATAGCTTGAAAAATAGTGCAAATAGCTGCTGTAGATAAGAAAAAAAAAATCCCCATGCCCCCCGACCTGCCTAGGTTTGGGCAGGGCCTCAAATGTTTACAATGTCTGGCTCTGTCCCTGTAATTGACAGTTTCATTTACCTCTGTAAAGTAATCCACTTCAATAAAAATCTGACTTCTTGTGGAGCTTGACATGTCATACAACTTATTAGGCTAAGTGATCTAATGCCTACTTTGTCTTCACTGAGCAAGGTGCATCAAGTTCGACTTTCTGATTCAAGCTTTGACATTATTTGTTCCATTCACCTCAAATATGACAGTGTAAAATAAAATCTCCCATAGGCTTTGAAAGATGTTTTTAGGTAAGTTTTTGGCTTACAGTTAAAGTTATAATGGAGTGTCAACTTTGAGAGCATTTTGAATGGGTGGAGCCTGAAGGTTCAGACACGTGGGTGTCGAAGCTTCTACCTGGAAAAGATATGCCTTTGTGTCCTAAAAAAAAGGCTTTTCCAGGAAGTAGGCTTAATAAAAACAGTTCCTTCCTGCATCCGACAGTAGTATTCTAAGTATTCAGTATCAGCATGATTTTCTTGAAAGTATGCAGGTGTGAGTGTATGGTTTTCTTAGTTATCAGCCTCAGCTCTCTGGCCCTGCATTTATCTTAGCCTAACTACAACTTGGCAAAAACCTTTGCATACTTGTTCTGATACAACTGGATTACTCTTAAACTAACAGATAGGTTGAGTGTGAGACCTTGAAGTGCGTAGAAACACCAGTAATTCCGGTTAGCAGGTGCTGCAGTATGTAATCTGCTTTAAAGGTAATATAATGTGTCTATCAAGTGTGTAACCCTACCTGGGACGGCCTTGCCCCCCTCCAGAGGCAGCCTGGTGTCCCCGTTGGTTCCCACAAACAGACAGTCCGGCTGGGTCAGGTACTGCAGGGCTCTGTTCAACTTCATGTAACTGAAGTGTTCATCAAAGCCGACCACCACCGCCTTCACCTCGGGATCCAGAGGCACGGTGGCCCAGTCGTGCTGCTTCCCGGTGATGTGGTCAGGTCCCACCCCGGTCTGCTGGATCCCCACCGCCTCCAGCTCTTCTCTCATGGCATTGCTCCCTATCAGGTACACTTTGCCCTCCAGCCCGCAGACAGTCTTCAGGTACGCGGCGGAGCAGTACGCCGTCCCGAACACCTCCTCCTCGTTCGCGTTGAACCCCAACATGGCCATTTTGTCGGCGTACATCTTCCTCGTCTTGGTACTGTTGTTGGTGACGAAGAAGACCTTCTTCCCCTTTTCCTTGAGCAGGTTCACGACTTGAGAGGCGCCGGGGATGGCCTGGTCCCCCCGCCAGATGACCCCGTCGCAGTCAAACAGGACGCTGTCCACCGAGTCCAGCACCTGTTTCACCAGCGCGCCGCTCAGCCGCGTACATTTTGACCCAGACATCAGGGACGAGTCAGATTCAGAGATGAATTAACTGTCCGGACGGTATGTCCCGTTACTACACGGTGTTTCCGTTACCAAGCAAAGTCACGAACGTTACAGCTGGCATTAAGTTAAGCACTGCTGTGGGTAGAAACGCGTTGCGTTAGCGGCAATTGTTTGCTTTAATGAATGTAGTGTTGAAATTCTCCGAGAGAAAACCTGACCTTCCACTGCGTGTTACATCAATTCTGCGCGTACTTCCGCACCGGCTTAAAGGGACAGGAACCAAACACGAACAAGTACAGTCCCACTTCCGGTCAGGCTTCTGTCACTAACCACTGCCCACAACCTGTAATTGTCTTTCCAAACATAATACTGGGGTAGTCTAAGCTACACAGCCAGAGCCAAACACCCTGTTATTTTAACTTATATTCTTAGCATCACACTCAAAGGCAGAGCAGGGGGTGTCCTCTGAGGCTCCTAATGTTTCCTCAAAACCCTTAATCTGTTATTTTTTTAAATACTAGGGATGCACGATATTCATGCCTGTGGATATTCTCATTCATCCAGGTCATAGTTATCTCAAGGCAATTGAATCGAACGCAACTGGACTGTAGACGTCTTAGTCTGACAGTCAGACTAGTTCCAGCCTAGTCAGACAAGCATGAACTGATGAAGCCTCTTGGATAAGAGGTGAAACGTCTTCTAAGACAAAACCAAGTCCAGCTGCGTTCGATTCAATTGCCTTGAGATGCACGATATTGGATTTTTTTGCCGATATCTGATATGCCAATATTTATTAACTCATATGACTGATAACCAATACCAATACTGATTAATCCACTTTTTTCCCTACGTACTTTTAGTGAACATCAAGTCTCCTCTGTGGTGGAATTAACATCATATTATGCATGCATACTCTTAGTATGATGGCCCACCAGCAGATGGAGACATAAAATACAATACTTTTCAAGGTATGTATTTATTGTGCAAAATAATAAATAAATAAATACCCATGTTGTTTATCCTCTACGGAAGGGTACTGCTGCTGCATCAGGAAAAAAATAATGGATCAGTATTACGTTATAATGTGAAAAGTTTATTGTTCTAACAAAAAGTTTTTCACGTTATAACAATATAGTTTCATGTTAAAATGGGATAACTTATATTGTAAAAATATGAAAAGTTTCATGTTATAATGTGATAATTTATTTTATAAAAATGTGAAAAGTTTCATGTTATAACATGATGATTTGTACTGTAAAAATGTGAAAAGTTTCATGTTATAACGTGATAATTTATATCGTAAGAACGTGAAAAGTTTCATGTTATAACGTGATCATTTATATCGTAA